ACACTATACCAAAATCTCACATTACCAGACTCTACTGATCATTTCCTTTAACTTGACATAATTGACACTATACCAAAATCTCACATTACCAGACTCTACTGATCATTTCCTTTAACTTGACATAATTGACACTATACCAAAATCTCACATTACCAGACTCTACTGATCATTTCCTTTAACTTGACATAATTGAACTATACCAAAATCTCACATTACCAGACTCTACTGATCATTTCGTTTAACTTGACATAATTGAAACTATACCAAAATCTCACATTACCAGACTCTACTGATCATTTCCTTTAACTTGACATAATTGGACACTATACCAAAATCTCACATTACCAGACTCTACTGATATTTTGTTTAACTTGACATAATTGACACTATACCAAAATCTCACATTACCAGACTCTACTGATTATTTCCATTAACTTGACATAATTGACACTATACCAAAATCTCATATTACCAGACTCCACTGATCATTTCCTTTAACTTGACATAATTGAAACTATACCAAAATCTCACATCACCAGACTCTACTGATCATTTTGTTTAACTTGACATAATTGACACTATACCAAAATCTCACATTACCAGACTCTACTGATCATTTCCTTTAACTTGACATAATTGACACTATACCAAAATCTCACATTACCAGACTCCACTGAACAGAAGTAGAACTATCTGAATAAACTGAATGTACCACACAGTCCATAAGAAATATTAACAGAGCATTGGTAGAACCACCTGAATAAACTGAATGTACCACACAGTCTGTAAGAAAGATTAACAGAGCATTGGTAGAACCATCTGAATAAACTGAATGTACCACACAGTCTGTAAGAAATATTAACAGACATTGGTAGAACCATCTGAATAAACTGAATGTACCACACAGTCTGTAAGAAAGATTAACAGAGTATTGGTAGAACCATCTGAATAAACTGAATGTACCACACAGTCTGTAAGAAAGATTAACAGAGCAGAGGTAGAACCATCAGAATAAACTGAATGTACCACACAGTCCATAAGAAAGATTAACAGAGCAGTGTCAGAACCATCAGAATAAACTGAATGTACCACACAGTCCGTAAGAAAGATTAACAGAGCAGTGTCAGAACCATCAGAATAAACTGATTGTACCACACAGTCCATAAGAAAGATTAACAGAGCAGTGTCAGAACCATCTGAATAAACTGATTGTACCACACAGTCTGTAAGAAAAATTAACAGAACAGTGGTAGAACCATCAGAATAAACTGAATGTACCACACAGTCCATAAGAAAGATTAACAGAGCAGTGTCAGAATCATCAGAATAAACTGAATGTACCAGACAGTCCGTAAGAAATATTAACAGAGTAGTGTCAGAACCATCAGAATAAACTGAATGTACCACACAGTTCACAAGAAATATTAACAGAGCAGAGGTAGAACCACCTAAATAAACTGTATATAGAAAACAGGTGAAGTATATGAGAACATGTGGTTGCTACTTTTAGGAAGAAATACTTTGCAATTCATACAAAAAAATCACACCATATTTTATGATCACTGAGAAAATGAAATTATCAATGTAATTATTTTGTACTTTACAGTAAAAGTTGAATCAAAATAGCCAAAGCAGTGCATAACATTGTATTACATAACACTGTGAATGGCTGAAGTACATAACACTTTGAGTAGTTGAAGTACACAGTGGAGGTAACCTGGTTTCTTTCAGTTGTTTCAATACCCCAAAATATGATTCCATACAGTTAATGAGGTCTGAAACAAATACATTTATTATGTCAGAGTCATGTTAGGTTTACCCTTCATTTACAATCTCTTACAAATGGGGGGAAAAAACCTGCATGACCATAGTAAATAATGAAATAACTTCTTCACATACTTTGTTACTTGAACAGTTAGGTGTCCTAATTACTGGTTGTTACTTGAATAGTTAGGTGTCCTAATTACTGGTTGTTACTTGAATAGTTAGGTGTCCTAATTACTGGTTGTTACTTGAACAGTTAGGTGTCCTAATTACTGGTTGTTACTTGAACATTTTGATGTCCTAATTACTGGTTGTTACTTGAACAGTTAGGTGTCCTAACTACTGGTTGTTACTTGAACATTTTGATGTCCTAATTACTGGTTGTTACTTGAACAGGTAGGTGTCCTAACTACTGGTAAATTGTGCAATTAAATCATATGCATTTGTGTCTCTATTAAAAAACAGTGCCCCAATTTTATGATATATGTTTTACTTTAACCTTCAACCTCAATTAGAGAAATTAAAATGGAGTGTACTGTATAAACTAAATGCTGAGATGCAAAAAGTGAATTGACTAAATCAAGTTTAAAATCACACTACAACAAAGTTGTGCTCACAAATATTTTTACAGTTTAATCCTTTCTTTAAATGTAGTCATTTGAAAGCACAGTCACAACAAAACTAGCTTGATTCTCAATGTACAAACTAAAACCTTTTCTAAAAATAGAACATTACTGTTTTCAACATTTTTGTCCTATCTTAGTAATTTCCTGTGAATTATAACTACACAAGACACTCACCAGCACAAGCTTCTGAATCATAATTAAAAATCACAGACCACCAACAAGATGCTTGCAAATTTTCAATATAAATAAGTTTTAAAAAATGAACAATTTCTTTTTGTTGCCAGCTTTAACATTCTCAGGAAGTATGTCGGGGTGGATGTACACTTAAACATTATCAGGAAGTATGTCGGGGTGGATGTACTTGAGAAGGTCTTGTTCTGTGTTCACGAAGACAACTTTGCTGGCAGTAACCTCGTGAAGCCTAAAATATACACAATTTAAAGATGTATAACAAAACAATAAAACTAAAATTACAAAGAATGGCTTACTTTGCTGGCTTTAAATACCAAGAATGAAACAGTTTACTTTCCTAACTTTCAGTATAAACAATGGAACAGTTTACTTTCCTAACTTTCAGTATAAACAATGGAACAGTTTACTTTCCTAGCTTTAAATATAAAAAATGAAACCCTTTACTTTCCTAACTTTCAGTATAAACAATGGAACAGTTTACTTTCCTAACTTTCAGTATAAACAATGGAACAGTTTACTTTCCTATCTTTCAGTATAAACAATGGAACAGTTTACTTTCCTAACTTTCAGTATAAACAATTGATCAGTTTACTTTCCTATCTTTCAGTATAAACGACGGAACAGTTTACTTTCCTATCTTTCAGTATAAACAATGGAACAGTTTACTTTCCTAGTTTTCAGTATAAACAATGGAACAGTTTACTTTCCTAGCTTTCAGTATTAGCAATGGAACAGTTTACTTTCCTAAATGTACTATTGTACAAGTCTCATGTTGTGGTTAATATAGTGTAATACTGTACAAGACTCATGTTGCATTCTGAAAAACTTCTGTTGGTTGCAGTTTTCTTTTTTGTTTAGCCTGATGGTAGACAGAATGTGAATTTAAACTTTTATACTTTTTAATTTCACTTATGTTGTCTATAACTAAATCAAAACAAAAATATTCAGGAAGTCTGGTTTCAAAACCTATCATGAATTTATGTACTATAAAATCTTCCCAATAAAAATATATGAATATTAATAATGATTTATAACATAACACCAAAGACAGACACGTCTAAAAAATTAACTTACACAAATGTTATAAAAAATATGTAAATCATGTTAAAAATGTTTGTTCTAAAATCTGATGAGCTGTGAAGGTGAGGCTTAATGTGACAATTGCAGGAAATTCATGGATCTGTTAAGAGTTCTAATTTGTGAAAGAACTGATGATAGGAAAGGAAATAAAATAAACTTCAATAGAAAGTTGAAAAAATGATAAAAAGAGTTTGTCATGGCTTCCCTAGTGTTTCATGGTTCATAAGATAAACAATGAGAGGAAGACACAGTGGAACTATGGCTAATCAAACTTGTTAGGAAAGCTTTGGTGATGAAGAGGTAACTTTTACTAATGACTTACAGAAAACTACACTAGATGAAAAACCAAGTCATCTGAGAACTCACCAGCCTTTGATGATTGACCAACAACCAGAGAAGATAGCTGGAGCATTTATAATTAAACATATTCCTAACCGTTCAGGGTAATGTCTGCTCAGGAGCCAGATCAGGTTTTTTACCAGCTGGTAGTCCATGCTGTTCATGCCAAAGTCTTTTAGGTCAAAAATAATACAGAGGTTATCAATGACTTCCTCAAAACATTTCTTGCAGGCTTGTTCCTGGGTGGAAAAGGAAACATTGTTTTGTTTGTGCCAATTTTGGAAGTACTTACAGTGGACAATACATGACAAAATAAGCATATGATTTATGAAATAATTCTGTTATTTAAAGGAACAATATCTTACCTCCATCTTAGGATTGAAATTGGTTAACTCTTTCAGCATGGGCTTGGTCTCTAGGACAGAACTCATAATCATTTTGTGCTTGTTATAGTTTTCATGCTACAACTTTTAAATTAGTAAGCATATGTTGACGACATTTGGCAGATTATCAGTAAACATTAAAATGCTTTCATATGCAAAATATCAATCTTTTTTTTAAGTCTTAAGGTTTGTTAAGCAATGTTTTTCTCCTGCCTTTTTTTTCTTTTCACATGTTGCCTATCCAACATGCAAAGGAATTTTAATTATAAGATTAAAAATACTTTTATGCATCAGAAAATTTTGAAATTTCACATGCAAAATCTTTATAATGTCCAGATAGTTATCAAACATTTCTTAAGAAAAAACGATATATTTCATTTGATATTTTCACTAATTAATCTCTGTACGTGTTCGGTAAATTTGACCGATCTCGCAACCATAACAAATTAGGAACATAAATTATGCCTCTTTCATTCTAGATTCAACATAAATTATAACATGAAAACATAAATGTTTAAATGAAATAGCTTAAATCTCATAACGTTATACATTTATATATATATATATTATTGTGACCTTTCACCCGTGTCTGGCTAACAATACAGAAGTTACAATGACGCAGCTCACATGCACTCATGTTACCGTATCAAATAACATAAAGGTGACCTTTGGTCTGTACAAAGTAATTTGTCTTGGCTGTGTTTTAGTAGACTAGTATTTTGTAAAATACAGACACATTTCATTTATTATACATTATATATGTATATAGATCATTGCTATTTACAAACAAGTTCTTAAACATAGAATGGTAAATAAAGAAGTAAAGCAAACAATTATCTCTTCTAGTTACAACCTTTGTACTTGGTTGCTGCTTGATGTAGGTTACTAAGTCTTTAACAATTTTGCATGTGGAGGAAATGAAACAACATTTTTTTTTTAGGTTTATATATATGTTTGAATAACTAAAAAATCATAAATTACTACATCAATAGCATAGAATTCTACTATAATTTATCAAACTTAGTAACTAAGCTGTATTTGGGTCTAAAAAATATGCAATTTTGAGCAGATTGAAGACACAACATACCTCCTTGAAATCTTGGTTCGAAAGAATGAGATGGCATCCTAACACATGAAAATGGCTGAGAAAACCACTAGGGGACAGTCTGAGCTTTCGAATTGTTATTCTCGTCATATATTGAAGTAAGTGTATATAAGGGACCTTTTACAAAAATTGAAAGAGGTGAGCTGGGCCACTATGTTTGATTCAGAACGTGAGTGATATATCAGCAAAGAGAAAAGATAGGAGGTTCTTATTTTATATTCTAGCTTGTAAATATCGGTAATTTGAGTTCCTAATTTGTATGAAACAAAAGATTTTGTATTTGGCCATCATAAGTACCTAATTTGAACCAGTGCTGCATTTAACATACCATGTGAGACACAAAAATTGATGTTTAACTGTGTTTTTTTGATATTTACTTTTAAATTAAGAAAGTACATAATGTATAATACTAAAATATGAATTATAATCTACAGTTTGATACCAAACTTATTGACATAAATTCAGGAAATGGTAGTTCAATAAAATTTTGAATGCAAGTGAACAAACGCGATGACATGGCCTTTGACTCGTGACCCGTCTGGAGAGGGTTAAGCAGACTATAAGAGATACAAAGAGTACTTAATACACATTTGCAGTCATGCCTTACAAATTTTTAAACTAGAAGATCCTTTATTTATTATAAATTTACACATTATGGAAGCAAAAAACAAATCATGGGTTTCCAAATGTAGAATTGTCTTCATTCAAATCGTGACGGAGATAAACATAAAAGATACAGTGAATTATACTCACCAGAATATACACAATGAATCTCGTAAGTTCATCAATGTGTCTTTGGTTCACGTTATGGTTCCTAGCTGGGATGTATATAACTGGTCTAAAGTTTAAAATATAAAAAAGTATTTCAACAACTTTAGAATATGAACATTTTTATACCCTTTGTTAGTTGAAGTTACAAGAAACATTTCTGTGTTAGGTACTTAGCTTTTAGGTTGAATCAGAATATGAGTGTTTATTTTGAGGTACATAGATTTGAGGATGAATCAGAATTATTATGACTGCTGACTTTGAGGTACTTAGCCTTGAGGATGAACCAAAATATGAGTGCTGATTTTGAGGTACTTAGATTTGAGAATGAACCAGAATATGAGTGCTGATTTTGAGGTACTTAGATTTGAGAATGAACTAGAATATGAGTGCTGACATTGAGGTACTTAGATTTGAGAATGAACCAGAATATGAGTGCTGATTTTGAGGTACTTAGATTTGAGAATGAACCAGAATATGAGTGCTGATTTTGAGGTACTTAGATTTGAGAATGAACTAGAATATGAGTGCTGACTTTGAGGTACTTAGATTCAAGAATGAACCAGAATACAAGTGCTGACTTTGAGTTACATAAATTTGAGGATGAACCAGAATAAAAGTGCTGACTTTGAGTTACATAAATTTGAGGATGAACCAGAATACAAGTGCTGACTTTGAGTTACATAAATTTGAGGATGAACCAGAATACAAGTGCTGACTTTGAGGTACTTAGATTTGAGAATGAACCAGAATATGAGTGCTGACATGGAGGTACGTAGATTCAAAGATGAACCAAAATACACATAAAATCACAAGTGCTAAGCCAAACTCACTGAAAACTCACTTCATAAACTGTTTACAACCAAACTGTTCTAGCTAGATTCTTTTCTACTATTTCACAGAAACTTTAAAGAAAAGTACCTGTAAACCTCACAAAAAGCTAGTATTACGCACATCTGAAACTTTTAACATGACAGTTATTGTTGGACTTATTACCATTTATTTATAGAGTCTAAGACAGAAGAACACTTCATTTCAATACTGTTAAACATGAATACCTTCCTTGGAAATCTCGATGACCAAGAACCACAGCCTTCTTAGATTCCAAATTCTTCTTGATTATTGGATCTTCTGCTGATATTGATTGAACTCCGTATTCCTTCCTCCATTTGTTGGTTTTCAGAATTGCTTGAAAGGCACTGTCTACGGACTGAAAGGCTCGTAAATACCTCGCAAGTGACAAGTCATTGTGGAACTGTAAAAGATAAAAGTTTACATAAGTTAGATATTTATTACATTTAATCTCAGTAACGTCAAGGAAAAATTGAGTAACTTTGTATTAATATATCTACAAAAGTAGGTAAGCAAAGAAATGTGAATTATAAGATGTCTTTCTGGAATCTGAAAACCTCCATTTATCAATCAAGACACTGATGACAGTTCAGAGCTTGAAAGACAAAACCTTAAAAATTATTAGAACATATTTTATAAATCAAGACATTGACAAAAGTTCAGAGTACACAAGATGAAACCTTGGGAGTGATTAGAATATTATACCAAAAAAATACAAATGACAGTTCACAGTATCCAAGATGAAACCTTGGGAGTGATTAGAATATTATACAAAAAAACACAAATGACAGTTCACAGTATCCAAGATGAAACCTAGGGAGTAATTAGAATATTATACCAAAAAATACAAATGAAAGTTCACAGTATCCAAGATGAAACCTTGGGAGTGATTAGAATATTATACCAAAAAATACAAATGACAGTTCACAGTATCCAAGATGAAACCTTGGGAGTGATTAGAATATTATACCAAAAAATACAAATGACAGTTCACAGTGTCCAAGATGAAACCTAGGGACTGATTAGAACATTATAGAACAAAATACAAATGACAGTTCACAGTATCCAAGATGAAACCTAGGGAGTGATTAGAACATTATAGAACAAAATACAAATGACAGTTCACAGTATCCAAGATGAAACCTTGGGAGTGATTAGAATATTATACAAAAAAAGAAAAAGAAATGACAGTTCACAGTATCCAAGATGAAACCTAGGGAGTGATTAGAACATTATAGAACAAAATACAAATGACAGTTCACAGTGTCCAAGATGAAACCTAGGGACTGATTAGAACATTATAGAACAAAATACAAATGACAGTTCACAGTATCCAAGATGAAACCTAGGGAGTGATTAGAACATTATAAAACAGAATAAAAATGACAGTTCACAGTATCCAAGATGAAACCTAGGGAGTGATT